GCTACAGCTTGAGCCACATCCCCAGCCCTACCCAGGTCTTATGGAGCTCACTCCAGGACATGAGGGGGTGGGGACACTGACCAGTAAGAAAGTCCTGGCAGCCACACAGGAATCCTCAGTTCAGCCTCCAGGCCACAAGTAATCGCCCCAGGGGRCCAGCCCTTGGGCTTTGGAGGGCCCTTGAATAGATCAAAAGAAACTGCCCCTCCCTGGGAAGCAGAGATGCAGGAATGGGCTTAGGACCAGGGCCTGGCTATTTGAGGAGGAGGCGGAAGTGGGCCAGGCTAGCAGGAGGCCTGAAGTCATAAGCTATTTATGAGGCAGCTGCCCCTTCCCCTTGACCCTGGGCAAGAGGGTCCTATAAGCTCAGGGCTCAGGGCTTTGCATCATTGGCAGTACTCCCTTCCTAGGAAGGGAGGATGCAGCCCACACAAACCCCATTTGACCTGCCCAGTGGCTGCCCTCTGTACCCAAGGAAYTGCCCCCATCCCCAAGCCCACAAGACATAAGGCCACTTAAGGCAGTCAAGGTGGCAGCCATTGTGCTGAAAAGGAACTCACTGGCTAGTCTCAGTTACAGAAGACTAAGCCAGTGTCCTGGGCTCCTGGGACTGTGAGGCTAGAACCTTCTCTACATCCTTTAGTGCCAACAGGAACTGACAACCACATCCCCCACAGCTGGAGGCAGCTCCAACCCTTCCACAATCTTTGGGGGGAGGGGCAAGGGGGCAGAGCAGCTCATGCCAACACTGACCCCAGCCTTAACCTTTTCAGAGCATCAACACCCATGCATCCTCACTGATATCCTTGCCTTCCCCAACAAAGCAGCAGGGCACAGYGGGGACAGGAGGCCCCAAGCTCCTTTCTCTCTCTTGGTTCCACCTCCTCTCCCTCCTGGCCAGTTTGCCAGCCAGCCCTGCAAACCACAGTGGGAAAGCCCAGCCCACCACTTCCAGCCTTCAGAGRGAGCCTTACACCACAACCAGGAAGTAGAGGGCAGGGAGGGAGAGACTGCATACCCCCCCACCACCACACTCAGGCCAGAACATCTGGAGAAGTGGGATGCTGGTGCAGGCCCCACCTCCTTCTGGGGCAGAGTCCAGGCTACCCACCAAATGGAATGAGCCTCTCTTTCATCCTGGATGAAAGGATGAAAGGAGAATCCTTCAGAATGCCCATGATTTCTACAACACCCACATCCCCATGCTTTCATCAGGGAGAGAGGGGTCTAGCTGGGGCCTCAGTTTCCCTCATACATTGAAAGGGAAAGGGCTGTGGGGGTTGTTCTCACAGGAAGGGGGAGTCTTTGGGCGGAATGGCTGCAGGGGATAAGGARGAAAGGGGGTGGGAGTCACATCCAGGCTTGCCTCAATAGCAGGGATTTATAACACATTGCCCCCACCCCCACCCCCGGAAGCAGCTAGCAGTGCCACAAACAGCTGGGTGGCTTCCAGCAGGCAGCAGGCTGAGGCTGCCCCTCCTTCCACAGGAAGTCCCGGTTGGGGCCCTTGGGGGTGGGATGGGATGGCTGAGCCTCAGCCTGGGTCAGAGTTCAGCCCCTGAGCTGRTCAACAGAGAAGCAGCTGGATGTCAAGTGCCTTGTTCACCTGAGGGTCACAAGAGACATGGTCTATCCCTTTGTCCTATCCAGTACCTTTCACACTGCATACAATTGCTCTGAGGCCTCTATGGTACCAAGGTCAGAGTCACAGAAATCAGAGCTCAGAACAGTCCCCTCAAGGATTTTTACAGGACAGAGGTGGGTTGTCGGGGCGGGTGGTGTTGGTGGTGATATTGTCTGCATAAGGGCCCAGCAGACCCAGAGGATCCCTACAGGGGCAGAGTGGGCAGTGCTAGCTATGCTGGTGCCCCTGAGGGTTCCCTCTCTGGGTCCAGCACTGCCCTTCCCAGAGGCAGGGTGGGGAGCAGGCGCTGGGTTATGCGAGGGGAAAAGTGTATAGGGCAGCTGCCGCCCAGAAGGGCGGGTGTTCACGGGTCTCCACAGCCGTGGCCCTGGCCTCAGCCCCTTGAGGAGGCTGGCTACTCTCCAACCGGCCCGCCCAGGACGTGGGCGAGCTACTGTCCACATGCCTGGGCGCTAGGAGGGGTGAGAGCTCCGCTACAGAGACAAAGATCCCGCTGCTCCCCCTTTTCTTCCTCTGACCGGCTGTAACGACCCCGGCCCAGGCGTCCATTTCCTGCCCACTACACTCAAATGCCCCGAAGTAGGGGTAGGCAAGTCCGGGTCGAGAACTGGGCCACCGCCTCCCGGCGCGCCCTCCATAGTGCCGATCTAGCCCCAAAGCAGGGGCTCCGACCCGGTCCTCAAGGGCCCAGTGCCAGCTGCCCGGAGTAATGACTATTGGTAGGGGCGGGCTCTTTGGAGGTCGGCGACCAGGGGCAGCCGAGATGCAGGGAGGTCCCAGCCGCCTCCGGGGACTGCGGGAAGCGAAGTCTTCACTGGGCCGGGCTCTGCCCTTCTGCTGGCGCGGCCGCCCCCGCCGGGTGCATACTGCGCAGGCGCGGCCCCGCCCAGCTGCTGGCGCTTCCGGGCGGCGGGAGGCGGGCGCGCTGCGGGTCCCAGGGATGTAGACTCCCGGCGGCTGCGAGGCCGAACCCCATGGGAACTCCTGAGAGTGCGGCCGCTCCCGCGGGCCCTGATGAAGCCTCCATTTCCCGAACGAGCCCGCCGCCCATGAGCCCCCAAGTGACCGGATGCCGCGGGGCCGGCCACGGGCCAAAGCGGGTGAGAGCAAGACCGCAGCGAAGCGGAGGCTGAGCCCACGGCGAGCTGGCACAGTGGGCCGGGCTGCAGAGACGGTCACGTCAGCGTCCATTCACGGCTGACTGGCGGCCTCTGCCCGACGTGGACGTCAGCACTGATGTTAAAAATAATGGATGTCTCGAGGGGCAGGGCGCCAAGGGTACCGCCGGAGACCAGCGGCCCAGGAAGGCGCGTCCAGGCCCCGCGCTCACTTGCTGTCTTCCTCTCCAGCTTCCCGAGGCCCCAGACCCGCTGAGGATGCGTCTTCAGGTTTCCCGGCCATGTGATGGCGGAAGGGACCTCTCGCCCCACTTGCTCCTTATTTTGACACCCTGGGCAGTAATGCAGAGTGCAGTTAGGGACTGGCTGGGGTCACGCTCTGAGCATTTGAGGTGKGGTTGGGCAGATTATCAGCCTCATTTTCACCCAGCTGTGTGTTACGGGCCTCCTGGGCCAGAACAAGTCTGGGACAGTAGGAGTCTTGCCTCCATCAGCAGCCCGTGGGGAAAGAAGCTCTGTCTGAGTCTGGGCTGGTTTTTTGGGACCGAGGGTGCTCTACCCATGAGCTACATCCCCAGCCCTTTTTATTTTGAGACAAAGTCTCAGTTGCACAGGCTGACCCACAAATTGGAGTCTTCCTGCCATACCTCCCTAATAGCTGAGATTGCATGCATAAATTCCTGCACATGCATATATACACTGTAAATTCCTGGCTAGGGTTGGGTACAAAGAGCAGGGTTCCAGAAGCAAACTCAGAAGGTTCCCTGGGGTCAACATGATAAATGGGATCATGAGGGTCCTAGCTCCTTCTCTGTAGCCTCAGACATCCCCTCCCAGGCCTGCAGCCCTTGTCACCAGGCTGTGCATCTCCCATGTGTGAAGGGCCCAAAGGGCAGTGCCACCTACCACCCAGCAGCCTGTCATCACTTGAGGTTGAATATGTCAGCCTTGGCATTGTTTGTGCCTCAGAGCAACCCATAAGGTCGGTACCACAGTTTGCAGATGAAAAAACTGAGGCAGACAGAGCCCTTGAACTCCCAGGGCCTGTTTCACCACATAGTTTTCTGTTGCCTCCTACTCAGATACTTTTGTTTTCCCATTGCAGCTTTCCCGAAGGATGGGGCAAAAAAAGCGAATAGCAGAGAAAGAGTTGCAGCAGAGCCCACTGGACACAGCCCAGTCGCCTTCCCCAAAGGAGCCCCACTTGAGACCAGCCTCTTCCCTGGGCCCACAGTGCAGCATCTATTTCTCCAGCCCAAAGAGCCACCCTGCCCGGCTAGGAACAGAGTTTTTTGACCAGCCAGCCATCCCCCTGGCCCGCGCCTTTCTGGGACAGGTAATATCAACCTCGTCTCTGCTGAGGTTGCCATCATGAGGCCCTCACCACTGTTCYCAGCCTGACCTGGCCCTGCTTTCCCATCCTGGTCCCTGAAGAGCCTTATCTTAGTTGTCTGGGGTTACTGGGAGAAGGAGGGCTGTTTGCCTCAGATGGAGGAGGGCTGTCATCTCCTTCCTTTACTTGCAAGGAGAGTAGCAGTTCACTGCCAGCTTTCCCACCTGGGACATGGACGCTTAGTCCCTATCTACTTGGGACCCCTTCAGGGTAGGTCACTTGGAGGTACTATAACACTGTTGGCCCTGTATCTTTGAGGGGCTGGCCACCTTTGCCTGCCTTGTCTCCTGACAATCAGCACTCGTCAGGATGACATTTCTGATAGTGTGTCAGATTGCCAGCATCAAAATTGCCTTGGGACAGCTACCTTCCTACCACATGACTCACAGTGGCAGCTCTGGCAGCCCAGTGGCCCCTATGGCTCAATGTAGATTCAGGATCTGGGCTCTGGTGGACATATTGGAGTGGAGCAGGGMCCATCCTGGGGTGGCCTGCCATGCACCCTGTCACCACACATGCACAGCCATGGAGTCTTGGCCAGGTCTGTCTTGAATACCATCTGGGTATTGTTCCTGGGTATCAAAGTCCCAGAACTGGCTTGCTGGCTCTCCCAGAGATTCCTTGGCCTACCCTTTGTCCTTTAACAAGCCTACTTTTAGGTTGAAATGGCCAAGAGAGCCAGTTTCTGTGACTAATAGAAAAACCAGTGTGTTGGGGCTGGGGTTAGCTCAGCAGTAGAGTTCTTACCTCACACATGTGAGGCACTGGGTTTGATCCTCAGCACCACATAAAAATAAATACAATAAATAAAGATTAAAAAAAAATCTCTGTAAAAAAAAAGAAAAGAAAAACCAGAGTGTTCAAGGCCCTGGCTCAGTCTCCAGCACTGAAACAAAAGCTAATGAAATAAGTCACCCTCTGAGCTGAGAAGGGTGCTGCCTCCCCGAGGAACATGTACCAAGAGTCTGGTGCTAACTCAGGTGTGGTGGTGCACACCTGTGATTCCAGACTCATGGACCATCCTTGTGCTGAGGCAGGAGGATCACAAGATTGAGGCCAGCCTCAGCAACTTACCAAGGCCCTAAGTAACTTAGCAAGATCCTGTCTCAAAAAATAAAGGGCTGGGGATATGGCTTAGTGGTTAAGTACCCCAGGGTTCAATCCATGGTACCAAAAAACAAAACACAAACAAACAAAACCCGGGTGCTAAAAAAAAAAAAAAAACAAAAAACTAGCTTCGTGGAGAAGGGATGAGATTCTGTTCCCATGAAGATGCTTTCAGCTGCAAGGGCCAGAGGATCTTTCTGAAAGTAACTTAGATATTGAACATTTATGACATGACAAACAATATGTGGGGCAGGTGCACCCCAGGATTGATGGTCAAGCATCAGAGTGCATCCACCTCTAGCCAGTGTCCTTGGCATGTCGTTTCCTTTTAGGCCTGTATCACACCTACTGGAGTCTGTTGGTGGACAGGATGATGTCTAGCAGAGAAGAGGGTGCTCACCCTCTGTCCCTTTGGTCGGGGAGGACAGCCTTTTTGATAACCTCCCAGTGGGTGCCCTTGCAGACCCCTCAGCAGGGTCACWCTTTTATCAAAAAGTTCATTTCAGGGCTGGAGATGTAGCTCAGGGGTAGAGTGCTTAAGAGTGCTCAAGGCCCTGGCTCAGTCTCCAGCACTGAAACAAAAGCTAATGAAATAAGTCACCCTCAGAGCTGAGAAGGGTGCTGCCTCCCCCAGGAACATGTACCAGAGAACTAAGGTGTGCTCCCTGCAGAAGGGTAGCTGGGCCCCAGGGTGCCAAGAGGCATGGGGGCAGGCCTCCTCAGAGTCCTAAAAAGCTCTCCTCTGGAGATGATCAGGCCAAACCCAAGGTACTCATTCCTGTCCCCAGTGCTTTGGATGCCTGTGGGCATTTCTAGGTTCCAGGACAGTCATCATTCCATCCTGTCCTGTGATACCGACCCTCAGGCACCACAGCTGACCCTAACCTGAGTTCAAGGTGGCTGGCCTTCCAACTGGTCCCTCTGACCTAAGGATGAGGCAGTTGCTGTAGATTTGGCTAGTCCCTGCAGTTCTGCTGTGAACCCTGGTTGAGTCAGGCCTAGGTCTGGGTCTTCAAGCACAGGGGCAGAACTGCTGGCCATTCCCAAGACAGTGGTCCAGGCTAGGGAACTGCAGGCAGCTGGTCCTGCTATTCAGAAAAGCTTTAGAGCTGGTTGGTGGGAGCTGAGTGTGAGGGTCTTTTGTGATTGCTTTGGAAGGTCACTCCACAGGCTCTGGCATACCCCAGGAGGCCATGTATGGATATCCTTGGGAGCCTGTGCCTTCCACACTGGCCAGCCTCGTGCTGATATAGTCCTCTGAAGGGGAATGGGAGAGGAAGTAGGGAGGACTTGAAGGTCAGCCTACATGGTGGTCATCTAATAGGGCTTGTGGCCTCAGTGGTGGCTTTTGGGATCTAATTAGGAGACACGGTGCAGGTGCCAGGTGAGAGGGCCTGGCTGAGTCTGGCACATTCTGAGCTAGTGAGAGGTTGCACAGGCTGGAGACTGTCAGGGTGGGTGTATCCCTATCCCTTCTGGCCCTGAGCAGACTACCCACACACAGGTCCTTGTCCGGCGACTTGCTGACGGCACAGAGCTCCGTGGCCGCATTGTGGAGACTGAGGCATACTTGGGACCAGAGGATGAAGCTGCCCACTCAAGGGGTGGCCGGCAGACCACCCGCAACCGCGGCATGTTCATGAAACCCGGGACCCTGTATGTGTACATTATCTATGGGATGTACTTCTGCATGAATGTCTCTAGCCAAGGTTAGTAATGTTGGCAATGAAGGAGCAGGACTGGCACAGCCCCCTTAGCTAGTAGTTGGGGGACTCCCAGGAGGACTGGGTTGGCAGGCATTTGAGGAAGGTAGTGCCATTGCCAGGGCCAAGTCCAGATTTCAGGAGCTCTGGCTGCATTGATAGGGCATGGTTGGCTAATGGGACTGGGCCCCTGTGGGATAGAGGCTATAGGACACACCTGAATGCAGAGCAGACAGATTCCATGAGGTTACCACTGATCCCAGAGCTTGAAGCTGATGGCAAAGAGCACTGGGGTAGATGTGGAAAGAGTAAGGTGTAGGGAAGCAAAGGAGAGATCAGTCTAGGCTGAGCTGAGCAATTGCAGGAGCCTATCAAGTGGACTATTGTGGGGTCTGATCAGTTGTTCTCAGCCAGGAGCAATTATGCCCCTTAGGGGACATTAGGCAATATCTGGAGACGTTTTTGGTCATTTTATAGCTGGGGATGGTACTGGCATCTACTGGTTGAAAACAGGAGTGCTGCCAAACCCCTATAAGGCGCAGGACAGCCCTCACCACACAGGAGCCTCTGTCACAGTGGAGTTGTCACAGTGGAATTGCTGGCTTGGTGCTCTGAGAGAAGCCCTCACTTGTGAGTGTGGCTCTGGTGTAGACTCTGCCCTTGGTGAACTCAGAGCACCATCCTGTCAAAGCCACTGCTGACCAGACAACCAGACTGTTTGGGGAAAACAGTAGGGGGTCACAGTATGCCATGCTGCAGGCCATGTATGTTGGACAGTGCAATGACGTGGGGATTTTGGTTGCCCAGAGCCTACAGCCAAGGATATCGAGTGCAAGAGCCTTGGAGACTGGGGGACACAAGGACTGCAGGACCAGCCCCATAGAGGAAAGCTCTCAGTGATTAGTTATCCAGGAGGGTGGGAGCCCTTCCTGGAGAGCCATGATTACTCCTGAGAGCTGGGTGCAGAGCTCCTTGTTAGCAATAACTAAGCTCAGGAGGGGAGGGCTGGCCTCAGGAGAAAGGCTGAGCCTAGAAGTGCTTGGTGCTATGGCCAGTGGAATGGTGGCAGGGATGTGACCTATTCCTTTCTGAACATGTGACCAAGATGCCCCAGGAACGTACAGGTTGTGGGGGCAGGACCCCCACATGGGTGAAGACAAGGTTATGATCATCCAGATAAGAGTGGTGGCTGAGGATATGGTTGTCACCTGTGCAGGTGGAGGCARCACATGGAAGTTCAGAGGGGCCAGGTTCAGGAGGAGGAGAATAGCCAGACTGCCAAGGCTGGAGCCACTGTGCAGCAGAGCAGGGGTGAGGTGGTGGAGGCTGGGCAAGAAGAGAGTAAAGGTGTTTCTGTCATTATGTGAGACTCAAGTGCATTCTGTGCAAGAGCCAGGAAAGAGGTGTGCCAGAGTGGAGGCTAAGCTGCTTTTCCTTTATAGGTGGCTCTGGCTCAGCAAGGGGTCTGCCTACTCCCTGCAAAAGTGACTCAGGGTAGGGCTGGGAATATAGCTCAGAGTGCTTGCCTTGCATGCACAAAGCTCTGGATTCAATCTCTAGCGCTGCCAAAAAAATTAAAAAGTGAAGGTGGGCACAGAGGGTGAGCAAATAGCAAGCTGGAAGTAGCATAAGACTCAGAGGGACTGGAACCTCCAGGCTTTGTTTTGAATCTCTTTGAAAACTGGCTGGTTATGGGGCTCACAAGAACCCAGCACTTGCTGGTTGCAGGCTTTGCTGCAGGGCATGGCTCCATTCACTTGGACTGGCCCTGAGTGCTGACGCAGAGCAGAGGCTGGGAGCAGACCCACCTGGCCAAGGCCCAAAAGTGGGTACTAGCTTGGCCATACTTGGGCCAAGCCTGAATCCCAGGTGACTGGGAGTCCAGGTGCATAGGTGAGCAGCTTTACCGGAGGGTCAGAGCTGTCCTGGCCTGGATCTAGGTCATCATTGTCCAAGACCAGTAATAACAGACCCAGACATTCAGGTCTAGAGGAATTTGGATATCTGTGCCTTCTTGGTGGGTCCCTGAAGTAGCCTGGACTGATAGGGCAGGGCAGGGATGGGCTGGAGAAGACCTCCAAGGGASGTCTTGTGGACATCTCCCGACATGCTTACCAAGAGGTGGCGGACAGTCCCTCTACTGAATCATAAGCCACAGCTGTTCTAGCATCCTGTGCCCAGGCCAACTTCCAGGCTTGGCCAACAGGTTGCTGAGTGGCAGACAGATGGGGAGCCATAGTGCCTGGCTAGGAATCTGGGCTCGTCCTGGGACTGCCCACTTCCTAGCAGGGTTATGCCAGTCCAGGAGCACCAGCTGCTGGGGCCTCACACTTGCCACCATATACAAGATGAAGGGAAAGGGGCTGTGGTTGTAGCTCAGTAATAGAGGGCTTGCCTAGCCTGCGTGAGGAACCGAGTTTGGTTCTCAGCACCACATAAGAAAATAAAGTTATTAAGAAGATGAAGGGAAAGCATGTGCTTTTGTGGTGGCAGCCAAGGGGTCCCTACAGAAGGAACAGCTGCCTTGTGGATGCAGGTGTGCAGAGGAGTCTAGACACAGGGAGGGGCAGACCCAGAAGGCAGTGAGCAACCATGTCAGCACTGTGACACTGGAGGTGCACTGGAGCAGGAAGGCAAGGGCCAGGGAGGCTCTGCTTCCAAACTGTCTATCTGTCCAACAGGGGATGGCGCTTGTGTCCTACTGCGAGCACTTGAGCCCCTTGGGGGTCTGGAAACTATGCGCCAGCTTCGCAACAACCTCCGGAAAGGCACCCTTAGCCGGACCCTCAAGGACCGTGAGCTCTGTAACGGTCCCTCTAAGCTGTGCCAAGCCCTGGCTATTGACAAGAGCTTTGACCAGCGGGACCTGGCCCAGGACGAGGCCATGTGGCTGGAGTATGGTCTGCTGGGCCCCAGTAGACCAGCCGTGGTGGCAGCAGCCCGTGTGGGCATTGGCAACGCAGGGGAGTGGACCCAAAAGCCCCTGCGCTTCTACTTCCAGGGCAGCCCATGGGTGAGTGTGGTGGACAAAGCAGCTGAGCAGAAGAACACACAGACCTGAGCAAAGAGCCCACTTAGGCTTTTTTTAATTGTTTAAAAACTAAATAAATGTTTTGCTTCTAGGGAACTGTTTTGTCTTTACAGAGCCCCTGGTTGATCATCACATGCCTAAAGTCAGTCCTTCCTCCAGGGTTAGGGTCAACAAGAGAGCCACACAGTACATGCACATTCTGGGGCAGGGTTCTGGCAGGAAGTTGAGCTGCCACCCACCACAAGGGTGACCTATGTGGTGCTGTGGTGAGGCTGGGCCAGGAGAGGATCGTAGCTATCTGGGAGGGATGTAGTGCATGGTGAGCAGAGGTGGTGCTGGGTGAGGTGGCCACACATGCTGATGCCATCAGAAGGCAGGAAGGAATATATCCCTCAGGATAGCACACAAAGTGGGGCAAGGCAAATACGGCCAGGGCTAGGACGAGGGTCAAAACAGCCTATGTGCATGTGTAAGGACACAGTCCTCACCAGATGCGAGTCTAGAAGGCACCCTTCAGCTTTTGGTGATGGTAAGGCTGTTGCGAGGACAAGTGAGAGTTAAAAGAGCACAGAGGATGATGGCCTCACAGCTGCTGCTGAACCAAGGTGCCTGTGGTAAGGATAAGGACAAGGGCTCTGCAAGCCTTCAGTCATGCCAGGGTTGGCCACCCATGCAGTGCCCACCCTCACACCCCATTCTCTCTCTGGCTCATGTGAGCAGAGCCTGGAAGACAGCAATGACAGGGTCCTCATGGGTGGTCACCACCAGCACACTGCGGAACTTGTCGAAGAGCATGAGCAGCTGGGAGCGCCGAGTGTTCTCGTTGTACATGATCTCCTCCAGGTGGTGATGGCCACGGAAGTAGTGAAGGAGCCTGGAGGAGGGGTGGCATTAGCCGAGACAAGGCCCGAACCCCGAAGGCCTCTGACAAACACTGGTGGGGGTTAGCTCAGCATCCTGGACCCAACGCCCACTGGAGTCCCTGGTGACCAGCAGTGGGCATGAAGTGGTCCTAACAAGAAGCACAGCTGTCTACATCTAGAGCCACTGAAGACTGCACCCCAGAGCGGGAAAGAGGCTGCCAGAGGCTCCATTCTCCCATGCTGCTGTATGTAGCAGGGAGTCCCTAAGCAAGGCTGCAGATGGTCCTTTCCAGGGTCTAGAGTGTGGCTCACACTTAATGCTGGCAGCCTTACCTCTCCCAGGAAACCACACACTTCCAGTCAGGGTTGGGGGACAGGCTGTCAGGCCTATAAGATGCAGGGGTCCTGGGCAAATCCCTGCCAAGTCCTACTCAGGTAAGAACTTGTAGGGGATACTTCCAAAGAAAGGCATATAGGCCCCAGACCTCAGTGACAGTGCTGAGATGCCATCTCGCCCTGGCACATGTCATGTCAGGTATGCCCCTTCCACTTTCTGTACAGCTCCACCCAGCCACCAGCCCCCACCTGGCAAACATGCGCAGATCCTCAGGGTTCTGGGCAGCGGGTACACTGAGGATGGCTGCCCGCTCATGCTCTGACAGGCTGGCCAACAGGCTCTCCGTCATCCGCTTGTTCAGTGGTGAATCCCCACTGGGGAGCAGCTCTGCACTGGAGTTGTCCATGCTGGGGCTGGTGAGGGTCATGTCATCACTGCTGGCTGTGGGCAGTACAGGTCAGGGTGGATTCCAGGATGCCAAGGGAGCAGTGAGGGCAGAGCCAGCCCCCACCTAGGGAYACACATAGGGTTCCTCCTGGTTCCCCGGCTGCCCTACCCAGAAACTTGGCTGACACCCATCCCCTAGGTGTGACATTCCCCCTTGTGGGTCTGACCTAGAACGTGGGAGCAGCCCAAGGACCCTGAATAGGTCCATGGCATACCCCCTGTATCCCTAGGCATATCTGGGCATYGTACCACCTCACCCAGCTTGGAAGATGGAGCACCTCGCATGAAACCCACAGCCTGCCCCTAACCTGGGACCCAGCACTTGGCAATGGATTTCCACCTTTAGGGATCTTCCTAGAAGTGACCATGACAGACAGTCTCCTCATGGGCCCTCAGGCACAGGGGTTTCAACTATCCTGGTGAAGTGAAATCCTGCTCTGATCCCAGGCTGGGGCTGCTTCTGGCCAGCAAGCTCCTGCTAGAGAGGCCCAGGATAGCCATGGTGGGCAGAGAAGACAGGAAGGGTCTCCATGGGAGACATGGAGGCAGACACACACGTGTGCAGCCATGTGGAGGTACCTGTCACACTTCCTAGCTGCCACCCCATGTCTCCAGATGACCCAGGTGAGGGAACCTTACTTGGAGAGCCAAAGCTTAAGGCGTTGGGTGTGCTGAGGCTGCGGCCGCCGACCCGGGCAGTGAAGGGGACGTCCTCCTCCCGCAGGCGGGGCTCTTCCTCACTGGGGGAAGCCATCAGGCAGACATAAGTGTGCAGCTGGATGAGGAGCCGGTGCTGCAGCATCCACACCACCATCTGGATGAGCTGGGTCTGTGGGCAGGCAGTGGGTAAGGCCAGTTCCCCCATCCCAGTGCCAACCTCCTATGGCCATGGCCCCAAACGGCTCAGCATACTCTGGTGCTGAGTCCTTGGCAGGAAAGCCCCTCACCTCAGAAAAAAGAGCCCACAGCTGCTGGGAAGCTCTGCAATGCCTACTTGCCCCAAGGGAGGTCCCGAATCACACCACACTGGCTCCTACCACACACCTGGGCTGTRCTAGTGTCTGGCGAAGGAGCAGGGCCTGGGATGCAACCCTCCCTTTTCTGAGCTAGAACCATCTCTGTTTTGCCTCCCTCAGCCTCAGATAACTGGGCGCTGCTGCTGGTCCTAGTGAGCCAGTCCACCCCTGGGCAAACCCAGACACCGTTTGGAAAGAGGTTGTTGGCAGAAAGTCCTCTTTCTGGATACACCTGAAGTCTGCACTGGACACACAAGTAGACCCAGAAGGAAGCCAGGAAAGGGTCCCCTGCTCAGGGTGGAGCCAGTGCCCATCTCACCATACAACAGGTCCAGGCCAGGCCCTCTGTGGCTGGACCTAAAACAGAGCAATGTGCCTTGTGCAGGTCCTAGACCCAGAGCAAGGTGTATGTATGGACAGTCTCTTCCTTGAAGGCCTGCAAGGAACTGCTGACTAGGGTCACCTGGGCTAGGGTTGGGAGGGGAATGGGGGAATGTATGTGCTAATCCTTTAAAAAACAAAACTCAAAAGGACTGCAAAATATATAAACTTAAAGTGAAATTAAGAAATAAAGGGGGAGGGGGGGCTGGGATTGTGGCTCAGAGGTAGAGCACTCACCTAGCACGTGTGAGGCCCTGGGTTCAATCCTCAGTACCACATAAAAATAAAGGTATTATGTCCTTTTTTTTTTTTWAAATTTTTATTTTCTACAACTAGAAAATAAAAATTAAAAAAAAAGAGAAAGAAAAAAAGGGGGACTGGAGTTGTAGCTCAGTGGTGGATCATTTGCCTWGCATGTGTGGGGCACTGGGTTCCAATCTCAGCACCACATAAAAATAAATATATAAAGATATTGTGTCCATCTAGAACTAAGGAAATATTGAAAAAAAGAAATAAAGGTATGGTGGTGCAGACCCATAATACCAGCACCTCAGAAGCTGAGGTGAGAGGATCACAAGTTGGATGCCAGCCTGGGCAACTTAGCAAGACCCTGTATCAAAATAAAATATTAAAAGGGCTGCTGGTGGAGTACCAGTGCAATCCCCAGTATTGGGGAAAAAAAAAARAAAGAACAGCAAGGGGCTTCATAAGCACTAGAGCATGCATCCCAGGGACTTGAGGGAACCAAACCTGGCTSCGCCTGAGCCCCTACAGGGTCTGGGGCAGCCACTAGGGAATGACCTGCAAAACCCACCCCATCACACGATACTGGGAAGCTTCTGCTGGGTGGGAGCACTGCCAGCCCTTGCCCAGGACGGAGGAGGCAGGGTACAGATGCAGAGTGTCTTGTTCAGCTGGAAGAAGCTGGCAGGGCTCCTAGAAACCATGTTCCATGAAAGACGGTATTTAGAGCTCTGTCACGCTCAGCCTCTAAATGAGCTGAAAACACCAGGATCTTACTCTCATTCACAACTTGAGAAGGGAAAGGGCTTGATTTTAAGCATGGGTTTTGCCTGGTAGATCTGGATTTAACTAAAACAAATACTTGGCTTTTGGAAAGAAAGCCATGAGAACACCCAGCCTATCTCAGACACCTGTCCTATCCCATCTGACCAGTGAAGGGGCAAACCTGCCTGGCACCTATGAACAGTGACACCCTACAGTCCACACAGGAAGCCACATACCATCTGCCATGTCAGGAAGAAGCCTCCCCACACCCAACCCAGGACCTTGGATAAGAAGATTCCAGGCCCCGTGGCCACAGGACCCCCCTGAACACCCAGGGAAGTGGGCAAGAGGCCAACTCACTTGGAGGGGGGGACACCTTCCATCTGTGGGCACCCCAGACAGCCAGTGCTCACCTGCCACATGGCACCTGCAACAGCAAGCCCCCAAAACAAGGCAGAACGGCAGCAGCACTGAGGGTCTACAGCTCCTGCAGCTGCCACGACTCACCTCCTGCGCAGGGGGTGCCAGGGGATTCCTGAACTCGGACAAGGAGACAGGCAAAGAGAACTTGGCAAGGATGGACGGCAGGTCGCAGGATGGGAACTGGCGGGAGAACTGCTCAGCCAGCGGGGAATACCTGGGGATAGGCGAGTCCAGTGGTGGGCACAGCAGACCTGTGGGCAGCACCCTCAACACAGGCCCTCAGTGGGCAATAAGGAATCTGTGCTGGGTGGGCCAGCCGCTGTGAGGACAGAATGAATGTAAGGTGACACGGCAGAGCTGGGCAAGCCTTCAGGTGGACAGAGTCCTGGCACTTGCCCTTAAGGGGTAGCAGAAGCCACAGGCACCAGCTACCCCAAACCCCTCTCTGATCTTGGTCAGGAGGAAGTGGCCCTGATGCAGGCAGGGCCAGCCAGACCAGAATCAGGATGGGCACAGTTGAAATCAGTCACTGGGTGGGAGTGGGAGYCTAGCCTCGAGGCCTCCAGTGCCTCTGGAGC